GAAGCAGGAGAAAATACCCTGTTTGGATTTTGGCAGGCAAAATCAATGGATGTGTTCCTAATTTTTAATCAGCTTGATGAAAGAGAACAGCACTCTCATTGACAGTCCAAATTTTAAACTTACACCCAAAAAAGTTGACAAGCAGCTAGCAAGAACTTTAAGGAAAGATAGTATTTTTGGGTGTTTGTCCTAAAGGAGATTCTCTCACAGATCAACCACACAATCTCATTACCTAATCACAGAAAGGTAAATTCTGTGATTAGCCTGATTGACACAGACTTGCAAGGCTTTGAACAGGGGGGAAGAATTCATAGTCAGGACATATGTTTAGATACAGGAGGTAGTTCAGAGAGTGCTTGAGAAAGGAGAAGCACCTTTCAAAGCATGACATGCAAGCCCACAGACACAAGAAGACAGCTGGCATTGCCTAAAAACAATATGAATTTCAGACTCTTTTTTTTCCCTTATCTTTGCACGCAGCTCAAGGCACTGACAGAAACTGCATATGAACCTATGAAAAAAAAATCCCTCTTACCCTACATGGAACAAGTACACATGTTTCCCACTACTTCTGTCAGCTTCTATCTGTTAACTTAAAAGACAGAAGACACTGGTTTGGGTGAGAGTGGTTTCTCTTTCCTTTCTGACTTTGGTAAAACCTACACAAACTCCATTTATCTATATCAGTAAAGCTGCCGTGATAATACTCTTTTCCATGACTATCCACCTCCAGATTCCCAGGAAGCAGGGAGTACTAGGGATGGTCTTGTCACTGGAATAGGAACAGTTGATATAATCAAAAATGTTTTCATCCTTTTAACTGAATAATGCTATTTTGAATTTTGTCCACTAATTTATCTTCCACCGGTTTCCTTCATACTTCCCTTCATGCTTACTGGGATAAGTAACATCTGCAAACTGTGTATTGGGCTGGTTACGCTGCAAACCATTTGGTTCCTTCCATCATTATTCAACATGCAAAGTAGAATAAAACAGGATTAGAATTACTCTTCCACAAATCCTCTCAGGGAGTTCACAAATGCTCCTTTGTCCTCTCTACTCCAGTTCCCTTCTTAGTTTTCAGTTTCATAAGCTGGTTAGATGGAGTCAGAAATAAACACAAAACGGTAAGAGCTGTCTTGGCAGCCTCCAGTGAATTCCCACCATAAGCATTTTCACATCCCACAGCAAGCAAGCAAGAAAGCAAGCCAAGGTGTTTCGTAAGAGCAACCCACAAGTCTTAACAAACACATTTAGGAAATTAAATGAAGCTTTCACCATTTATGCTACAGCATCTTGCAAGGGTCTAAAAACCTCACCTCCAGATCCAAGCAACAAAAAGCAGCTTTTCATACAAAGCTGTTGTCACTAGGTCCTGTATAAGGTGTTTAACATGTACACAAGCGGCAAAATAGAGAATTATATTTCACCAGTTATTCTGATGAATTTTGCTATGGAAGTCTGAAGTCTAGCACAACATGACAGTTTTTTTATACTAACCCTATTTTAAGACTCCTCTAGCACAGACCACAGATCTGTTCTGTACTAATACTGTTCCCAAAGTCAATCATTAGAAACTGCTATCTCCTCTAGCTCTGAAAGACAGAATAAAAAGAATTAAGGCAAGAATTAAAACAACTGCTTCATACAGTACAATTCAACTTCAATCAGAATACAGAAGATCCTAAATAGAATGTTTCTGAGTGCTTACTTTGTCCTTCTCACTTCTAGAAACTCTCTATTACTACAGTTTGGAAAGGTAACTGAGCAAAATTAACATACCCCAAGTCATTCTTTTACCTTAGATATACCAAATGAATAGAGAAAAGTAAGAAAATAGGGCTAATTTATTTTTGTACAACTCCTCAACAGACTTTGATGACATATTGATCAGTTCTGCCAGAGAACTGGAAGTTCCCAGAGGAGCTGGTGCTCTCTAACACATAGACTGGAAGCTGTTCTGCTCCGTACAGTACTGGAAAGAAGTCCTCAAGGTGAGCTCTGCGGCAGCCTCAGCACATGCACTGCTTCCAGGTATGGGCAGCTCTGACACAGCCACAGCTCAGACACACCTGCCTGATCCACGTCTCCTTCTGGGGACTTGGCAACTGTCAGTCCCGCACTCCAACTGTGCTCAAGCTCTTCAAGCCCAGAAGAACTCAGCAAAGACATAAGTCTAAGAGGTAAGCAGACGATGCCCATATAAAAGACGGGATAAACTGACATTTAAAAGTAGGAGGCATAGAACAATGTCTACAGAAGCTGCAGATTCCTGCTCAGAACCCAAATGAGATGAAAATGTCATCCCTTACATAAAGATATTTCCTACAGGACACACAGTTACGTTAGCCTATATACACATTTTTTTTTTCTGGTTTTCAATGGAAAATTTTTCCAAATACATGGTTACATGAAAAATAGCATTAGTGACAGTTTGACTCCTGCAATTACTGAATGGTTACTTTCTTTTTTCCAAATTGCTTGCTGAGGGTGTGCAGACATTTAATGACAGGGTATCTGAGTGACCATGTTGTGTTCTCCAAACGTAACAGAAAAAAGAAGCATAGCCTATTGTGCATTTCTGCCTGATGTAACTAAGGAAGTTACTTATGAATACAAAAATCATCATTAATTTTGAAGAGGATTTAAAATCTTGTTTTATAAATATCTTTCATGGAAAACTGGAATTTAGCTCCTTTCCATTTCCCTACTGAGACTGTTTATTAATCTACCACTATAGCACCCTCTTTGCACACAAAGTTTGGATTAATTTTGTTGTGACTGAATTAAATTGCAAATGCCTCTGAATTCTCAGGTAGCTGACTTGACCCTTTTATTCACAAATTCCAATATACACATTCAAGTGCATTGATCAGTAATGACTGAAAAAAATCTTCTCATCACACTCACCTTATTTTCCTCATGTTCAAATACACCAAGTTGTTTATTTTCATATTTCAGTTCTCAACGTATACTTACACTGCAGGCTTTTCAGAGCAGGCAATATTTTCTTGTTAGCCTGGGTATTATGTATCTATTTATATCTAATCTCAAGTCTTAAAATATTGTTTTAATATAAACTCAGTAATACTGATAATGATAAAGGGAGAGAGTGTTTCTGGGACTTTGGACTATGGATAGATCCAAAGAGTGAATCTGAGGTGTGAATGCATGCTTTGGAGAAGTCTGAGGTCCACTAAAGGGACAGATGACAGTCACTCCTTTCTCATGAAAGACTCAAGAGTTATTTGTAACTCACAGTGACATTTCACCATTAAAAATAAAATAAGCAATATGTATGAGGCCTTTTTGTAATTTCATATAGTCTTTTCCATGAAATCATATTCTTATTAAAATAAGACCTACATGGACAATTTTGCAACAAAGAACTACTCAAGTCAAACTTACTGATTAGGCGAGAAAACTATTTTTGTGAGAAGAGTTCTATCTGAAGATACTGAAAAACAAGTATCTTCCTGGTAGGTAACTTAACACTACAACACAAAATAGAACTTCATGCATTCTCCCTCAGGGGGAGAATTTTTTTTTTCAGGGTTTATTTCCTAGTATCTTTAATAATGTTGTTTTGAAATATTTAATGCATATTTTGAAAAACCTAACAAATATTCAGCTTTAGAGAGCTAAGATAAAACAATTCTCACTGTTTCTCTCAATCAGCTTCCACCTACTTCAGCTCTCTAAATGCAATTCAGAAAGCCTCAAACACAAGATTTAGGCTGAACTGTTCAGTCACAGACTAGCCTTCTGCCAAAACTCTGCAGCTCAATCCTGCTGACTTCATGTTGCTATTCAGGATATTTCACAATGACTGTTCTTTTCTAATGCTACCCCAAACAGCAGAGACATATTGGAAGGAGGTGAGAGACAAGATTACCATCCCAGCAGTTGATCTGCACTGACTATGTTTCTGTTCTGCTCAAATTGCATTTGTTCCAGGAAATCTACTCTAAACAGAATACAGGAACACAAAATATAGAGTAGATATCTCTGAAAGGAGCACTTACCAAGAGCATGTAAGCTTTACCAAAATATACATCCAAGTGGTAGTGTTTTATAATTTTTAATTTTTTAAATTTACAATTTAGAAGAAGGACATGAGATTAACAGGAGTCTACCAAAAGATTACTTACCATGTTCTTCACAGACCCTCATTTACATATCTTAAGAAAAAAATGCTCATCGCCTTTAGCACACAGCAAAGCATCTTCTAGGTCTCTCAGCAAGACAGCACATTGGTTTTTTAAATTTCTTCTTAAAATTTTCTCTCTTTTTATTTTTAAATACAAATTCACCCACATCATCAGACACAGACTGATGATATTAGTAAAAGAATATAGTAACCAAGTTGTTGCAGGTTACATATACCTCCATTGTGTTACACATACCTCCACCTGGCTGTAAAATACATAAATGTATACATGAAGGGCTGAGATTTCCCCCTCCACAGGGACATGGGTACTTGTGACTCTCTCCAGATGCTGCTCCCCAAGAAGAACATGAAAATGCATCTCTCAGAAAGCACCACTATGACAGGATCCACTGCAAATGCACCTTCTGCTCTTGTTATTGCTTCCCCATCACCTTAATGGAACAGTGTAGTACTGTTTAAACTACCTCTTACATACAGCATAGATTCTCATCAATCAAACTTGAATTTAAACTTGCGAATAATTTCATTTCCTATCTTCTTCCTACATATACTGACTTGAGAAATATTTTACTCCAGGAGCTGCCTCAGGGGGTTTTGCTGCAGCAGAAATGGTATTTATCCTAAGAAGAAAACAGAAGTGGAAGCGTTTGATCCAAAATCCTACACTGCCTGCATCTACCTCTTCCCTTACTTACCTGATGAATAATCAAAATATTAAATGTGGTGGCATTTAAAGTAGCTATTTTGACTGTTCCTCGCATAGCAGACTAAAATCTCAGCTCATACAACCCACAACAATTCTGGAAGGTGTAAAACCAACCCTGCTTACCTTTCATCCCAAACTTAGAATGCCTTCCAAACTTCAGAATAATGAGGGTTATTACTAAGCCCGTGCACACCAGTGCTGCAATTCCCACAACAACGTACACCTAAAAAAAGATGAAAACAGACCTGTTTGTTTTGGTTTTGTGTCTTCAAAGACATCCAGCATACACTCATATTAATCCAGTTATGAAAAGAGATTAATTTCAACTGGGAAACAATTGCATTGATATCAAAGAGTATAGAAAACAAACACTTGTTGAGGTTTCTTCTATTCTGCAGAGAACACAGATTCAGACACTTATGAGAACTTTTTTAACATCCTACACATTCAAGTCAGGTGGGAGGGAGCATACATCACGCTTTTCCCTTCCAGCAGAGTGGCATGTTACAACAAAACACATAAGAGCAGCATATAGGAAAAGAGATTTTACTGTGGAGGTGTTTGAATACTCATATAAATTACCTGGAGTGGCTGTGAAGGCGCCATCACTGGAAATACCAAAACTAGAGAGGACACAACCATAAAGAACCATGCAGGCCCTACTTTTATCAGGGGAGCTTGGACCACAGGAGTTCCACAGTTTCCACCTTTACCACCTTGGCAGTTCGACTCTACTATCAGATGAGACAAGATTGTCTTGGATCCTCCCAACCTTTAGCACATTGTCCCAATGACAGTCTGCTCTCTGACTCATGAACGCACGCTCTCCTCTGCTTGCTGCTTTACAGAGACACTGATGGAGGGAGGCTGCAGTGTCAACCAGGCTGGTAACCCACTATCAGTTTCCAACATTTCAGTTCAGGACAGCATGAGAGGCAAGGCAGCAAATTAGGAAGCCTATCAGTTCAGCCACTTGTACTAAAATCTACCACAAGCTATTTAATCAAAAACTTACAAGAAATCATGTCTTAAAACATACAGTTAGATTTTGAAAATTCATTGCAGCATATCACCTCTCTAACACCTCTAGGTGACTCCAGGATGGGTATTCAACCAACAATCTTCAAATAATCTTGGAGGTCTTTGTTTTGTAAATGAAGATTTGCTCTCCTTGACTAAAAATTACATGCAAATTTTTAGGCTAAAAAAATGAAAGTTTCATTTTTCAGAAAAGCAAGACACAAACCAACAGTTTCACTTGAATTGAAAAGTGATTCACTCATATAAAAAAAAAAAAGTGGGGGAAGGACAAGAGTGGGGACCACTGATTTTATTTTTCATCCTTTTTTTTCCTGAATTTTGATCACAACACAATAACAGCCATAGTTTTCTTATAGGCCGGAGTCTTATTATAGTGTCTGTAATTCTGTAAGTTGTATAGCCAAAAAGTCCACAAATATCACAGACCAGGAAACAATGCATATACTTACAGTGATGCTATCTTCATTCTCTTTGTTGGAAACATCCGTTGAAGTGATTTGATTACTGTTATTTGTGGCATCTCCAAGATCATTAGGTGTGGTTTCATACTCTTAAGAAAGGAAAAAGTGTTGCTTTTATAACTTCATAACTTTGATTGGAAAATGGTTTTCTATATAATTTCTGCTCTGTAAGATGGTAAGGCCACTATAAACTTCAGGAATTTAAACTCTTTGGACACAATTCATAATTGCTAAAGAAGCCAAAATGTTTTGGGAGGAATCACTGTGGCATGTAATTGAACAAATGTGCTGAGACTGACAAACATGAGAAAAAAGCAATATACATCATAATGAGTACTCCTGCTGGAAACACTAGAGTTAAATGAGAACTCCATCCATAGAGCTATTTTTATGTGCTTCTGACTTCCCATTAAAAATGAAAGACTGCCCTCTACAATGAACTTCACCAGCCTTGTATTCACTCAAATATAGGACAGTCTTAGAAAATAGCTTGAGCACTTTTGTTTTGCTGAGAAGAACTTGGCAGATGGGTTTCAAGCCATCTTACTAATATAAAATGTGAAATAGCTGTTTTCATTTGTTTAATAAATAATTTTTAAATAACATGTTATAAGCATAAAGGTTACGGTTCAGCATTGCTATCATACTGATAAACCTTTAAAAATTAAAGTGCCTGAGATGGTATGAAGAAATTTGATTGATTTATAAAAATAATTACACTGACATGGCTGCTGGGACAAAACCAGAACTATTCCATACAAAGAATGATCATGGTTCAATTATTTATAAGAACTTCAAAATAAAACACAGGTATTCAAAATAAAACAGAGACCATGACCTCCTGAAAAAATATTCAAATGAGAGAAAATAATTAAATGTTATATATATGAAGTTAAGATAAACATGCATTAAAATAAAATTTTAAAATGCATTTATTTAATTATTTCTTCTGGGAAAACACATAACACTTTAATTTCATGACTGTAATGTATGCAGATAAAAGAAACAAAGGGCAATAACTGCACCTATTATAAAATACACCTTCAGCATCGTAATTTAAGTTTGCAATTAAATAGGTATTTCTTTACATGTTTTGATTAAAATCAGAATAAAATAAGTCTGCAGATGAAATCTTAAATGTGAATTTGAAAAAGCTCTTGCTAACTACAGCGACATAAGCATTTCTGAGCATGGAGCTCCAGCTGAGCAAGAACAGGGAGGGCTTGCACCTAAGCACTATTCTCCTTTAGCTCCCAAGGCCAATTTGGAGAGCTCAGCTGGCAGTGTTAGTAAGAACTTGCACTGGGCTTTTGATCTTCAGGCATGCAAGGACACATTTGCTTTCTGCAAAGCACTTGCAGGCTGCAGATTTTTTTTTTTTTTTTGGTACAGGAAGCTGTCAGCTACCTCTGGCACCAGGGCTACAGTCAGCACAGTCAGAATGTCTAAACAACTCACATAGTCCATTTTGGCTCTAAACTATGCATGCCAAAGGACAGGACTCTTTCAAGACAAAATATGTATTAAATACACAGAGCTTTCAAGAGAAAAAAAAATTTCCTGATCTTTTACTGTTTGAATTCTCCAACTTTGCACTGCATCTCTGTGTGTGTAGCTTACCATGGAGCAAGGTTAGAGCAGAGGCAACAGGAGAATGAACAGCATCCCTTGCTCATCCAGGTAGCACAATAGCTGCCTAAATGGCTGCACAAGCAGCCTGGCCTTTCGGACAAGGTTCTGTGCTGACCATCTGTCACTGTGAGTACATCCTTTGCTAGAGAAGAGGAGGAGACTTCTAATTCATTATCTGCAGGCAAAACCTGCTTTATACTTTATATAAGTATTCAGCCTAAAAAACTTGGGCTTCCTCTACAATTAGCTGGGAAAATTTTCACAAAGATGGTTTTGGCCAATCATCTATTTATTATTGTTTTATAAGACTAACACATAAAACAAATATTTAGAGCCTCTGCTGCTCTGACTTTGTAAAACAAACTTTGAAGAAGGAAATTTTTTACTCCCAATTTCACTTGTATATAACAGCTGATGCTATTTGTAGTTCTGTTTATGCTCAAGCCTGCTGTAAACTACTGGAAATCACACCCTGGAGGGCTAATGAGAACCACAGGTCTGGTCTATGGATCCTCTGGGCACCCTTCTACATTAAAATGGGCAAGAGCTAAGGTAGGCTACATTGGTATACTGGTGGTATGTTGACATTTCTTGCTGTCTAACTGTGAATCATTTGCATTTGATGTATTGCCAGATCTTCAAAGTCCCTTGAAATGGGTGAATCAGGAAAGGAAAATACACGAGACAGCTATCCAGCACAAGCTGGACAATTTGAGTTGAACAAATTCCTGTTCATTTCACTATGAAATCCGGACATAGACACTGAGCACTCCTACAGACAGGATAACGCCTTTTGACTCATGCTAGATAAGGTTCAGATTGCTTTAGGGCCAGGTTGTCTGGTGCTCTGTATCTCATCCAGCCACCAGTGACTAATAACAGCTGCAGTGATTTGCAGCTGATGCTGGCCAGTATTTTATAGCCATCTCACAAACAAGGTGCATGGTGGCTGGGATAGACACAGCAGCACAGTCACATCAGCACCAGGGGGTCACTCTGCACCGTCATTCTGGGGTTTGGCAGATATGGTTTCTCATGCTCACAACCACATTAGAAGAGGCATCATGGCATGAAAATAAGAACTCAAGAGCCAAGGGAGCTGGCTTTGCACTCAATGTCGTGCTCAGACCCATGTGAGTCGGTTTATTTTTCTTAGTTAATTTCCAGATGACGTCAGGACAGGGTTCTCTCTTTATCTTTTCCAAGAGGTGCCACAGAGGCACAAGTGACTGCTCCACGCTTGCGGCAAGCAGTACCCCACGCAGGTAAGACTCCCTTCGGCAAACTCAACGTCATGCAGCCTGATGTCACCTCATCAGATCTTCTGATTTCTGCTGTGTATTCAAAATACTTAACAAAAGCATTTATAAATCACCTCACATCACAAGGACAGCAGTTTCAAGCAGCAGAAAGAACAGCCAGAAATAAAGAGGAAGGCTGCCTTTACCAGGACTAGGTCTTGCAGGCTGTGATCTGCTAGCAAAACTCAAAGTACACACATCTCAGCAGAAACCCACCCAAATCAGTCAAAGCACAGCACTCACATGGCTAAAGCATCAGGACCTTGATAAAAAGCTCAGAATCAAAATCTTTATGCATACAGCACATGAAGAAACTGTGCAAACCATCACCACTTTTCCATCCCCAACCCTCCCTTCTCCTTCTCCTCAAAAAAAAAAAAAAATTTGGAGAGAGAGGGAGGGGAAGCTATCCTCTGCAGTTTTTAAGCATTTGAAGTCAAATTGATGCTTCAATTGCACATTTGCTAAAGTTTAATGACGTGGAATGGAATCAAAGCAATAACATTTAGATCAGCTTTAGGTAACCTGAGTCATGGGCTATTTCATCCAAATAAAAAGTACTCCAAACAGGATCCAACTTCAAGCTGTTTGTGTAAGATGAACTTTTCTACTCACCAGAAGTATACCAGAAATATTTTTGAAAACCAGACAGTTGCTTTGCATTCTGCAGCTTCTATTTCAGTGCACACTGGCTTTCACTTGGTACATTTTGCCTAACTAAAAAACTAATGTGAACACTGTGTCATCAAAATCTCCTGGCACACACTCAGCTACCACTGAATTGATGGTCTGCTTATGCAAGAGAGATTAAGGGAAGGTACAAATGAGTGGACAGAGCAAAATAAATTGCCTACAGGAAAACTTACTTGTGCCAACTTAATTTCTAAGTGGGATTTAGGGGTACATTTTTGGAGGCAAAACAAGTATAGAATCATCCCTGAAAAAATAAATTAAGTTGTATAGAGAGAAATCACAAACTCTCTTTCCTCCAAGAAATGCCTCCAAAAGGTTCACAAAATCTCATGTCTGTGAACTACGTCACACAGCTGTCATCCTACAGGATCAACTGCACCCATTTGTAGCAGTGGATTTGTGCTTCTCCTAATGTGAATCAAAAGCAGCATAGTAAGTAAAATATCATATTGTCATCACATATGTAAAATATAAGGCCAGAGAACCAAAACCACAAAGTACCTTTCAGAGCTGTATTATTCTATGCGACATTTCAATTCAACTGAGCCTAACATTTAAACTTTCAATGTTTCAGTTCCTTCATTTCTATTATTAAAAGAAAAGAAAATCAAATATATACCATAAACGTCTGGATCCAAAATTGGGCCATTACCTGTATATGGAAAACAGAAAAACAAAAATAAAAAAAAAAAAAGAAAGAAAGAAAGAAAGAAAGAAAGAAAAGCTTTATAAATAAATTGCAAATGCTGGAAGAATAAACATTTCTTTATGAGTAGTTTTAAGAGTTGACTTTATTTGCCATAGAGATCACAAGTATCTACCTAAATGCAAACCAACATCAATAACTGCAGTTTATTAATTACATTTGCAACCATCTTAGAGTTATTCCAAAGGCTAATATTTTTCTACATGCCATGTGTGCACATGGTGCTAACTCTGGCAGGGGCAAGCATAATTTCACAATTGGGCAAAATCCTACTTCTACGTTCCACTATTAATATATATATATATATATATATATATGGAATGAGTGCAATGATAAGTATTCCTGTTGAAAAATCTAAGGTAAATTTTTCCCTGAATTCAAGTGGAAGCAGATTCTGCAGAGTTTTAACAATCACTGATTTTTACCTGATAAAAAAATTATGCTATTGTATCATTGTGTGAGCGAACCATTTTAAGCTGTGAGCTGGCAAGTTAAAGGCTACAGGTAGAAATGGCCTAAGCGGCACCATTTGATTCACTCTGTAAAAGGATGCTTCCAAGAAGCCAGCTGCACACCTGATACACAGACAGAACTCTTACTGGAAGAGTCAGATGTCCCAGAAACCAGACTTTACACTAGCAAATGGATACCTGTCTAGTCTACATTTCTCTAAATTTTACTAGTTCCTGTTTGCAGTTTTTTCTAATTACTTACTGCATGTATGTAAGGTTTAGCACATAAGTGAGTAAAATGCACAGAACAGCTACAGAAATCAGTGAACTGTTATTCATGTTTTGCAAGACACCTGTGTTGTGTTTGAACATACCCCTTCATTCTGATCTGTAATGCACCTCTAGCATAGTTTATGTAGTAGGCTTATAGTTATCTCTTCCATATTTTTTCTCTCTATTTTTGCAGGCTTGGAAAAAAAATTAACAAATAATTAAAATCTCTAAAGTTTAATGCAACTTCAATAAGAACAATTCTGTTTATACAACTATGCAGTAAATCCATAGCAATATCATCTCATGGGCATAATGCCACAGTGAAGTAAGAGCAGAACATCATTGTTAACAGCACAAGAAACTGCTGAAAATACCAGCTGCAACCTATATGTAGAATGGAAACAGAAAATTAGGCTTATTTTTAAATGCACTTGAAAATATTCCAGTATCTAGGGACACATGTCAATAGGCCTCATGAGAACTGTCATGTCAATTGGCAGAAATAAATAATCAATGAAGAAAGCCTGACTCTCTATCCTCAAGTAATCTGACCCGAGACTTTTGTCCACAAAAATTCATGGATTCAGTTTTCCAAGTGTAGAACATCCAGCTGCAGAAAAACAGTATTTCTAATTCACATTCCGTAATCTGAAGTGGAACAAAAACCCCAAGCAACCAAAGAACTCATAGTCCTTTATTTATGAGTTAAATGTCAACATTTTTGTTTCTAGTCACTGCAATTGGGATAAACTAAGAAGGTTAGTATAACACTTAACTCCTCCCATACATATAAAATAAGAAGTCATCAATTCCATTTAAATATATTTTATATAACTAAATACTTCAAATAAAGCTACAAAAATCAAGATGGTGGACAACTCCCATATTTCTGTTTAGTATTACTTTTTCTATTTAGCACATAGGAACATACCTATTTAATCATCAGATGATGTTATTTTAACATTAAACTTCATCACAATCCTTTGGCACATTTGCACACAATTATTTTCAAGGCCAAGTACAGAATGGCACCTTTGTTTTGGCCCCCATTAGAAGAGGTTGTTGAATAAATGAGCTATCAAAAGCCTGGTCCTATTCACTCATCTTTACAAACTACATCAACTACACTTGGATTGTTTGCTTCTTTCTTTATAAATGTGGCATTTCCAAAATAAAGCAGCAGCAAGAGAATCAATCCAAAAACATTCTTCTGAAAAAAACATACTGCCCAAGCAATATGCTACTTCTAAGGCATATTTAGCATATTCTTTTACTTTGACAAGATATATGTGACTTGGACTCATTCAGCTGAATTTTAATGTAGAGAGTTAGTAGATTAATAAACTTAATTAAAAATATCTATTATTGGTTAAAATGTCTCCCACATTCAGTAGCCATTTTGGATCATGTTCTATGGGAACAGCCTCCAGAATAAACCATGACCATTTCTTGCTTCCTGTTCACAGCAGTTAGTCTCAAATAATCAAGACACTCTCAGCAAGAATTGGAAACCAAGAACTTTTGCAGACTAAAGATAGTTAAAAACACAGCTAGTAAAAGATGAAATTCATTCTTCCAGGTCTTCACATTTAAAACAAATTCTAAATTTACAACATTAACTTGGGTATCATTAGAACAATCAAAATTCCACTACAGTACATGGTTTCCTCTCTTTCGTGCCTGCAACCTCAGACCTTTGAAAAACAGTCCTTCAAGAAGCATGCTGAAAGTTAGGATCATCTTAGCAAAAATTACATCTTCATCATGCTTGATCCAACTCTGAAAGTGGACTATTACACTATTGATGTAGAACATGCTTCAGTATACTACTACTTTGGGTAGGCATGTGGATTATGGGTGAGGGGATTTTCAAATTTTTTAATTTTTTTTTAATTTTCTTTTTTTTTTCTCTTTTTATCTTCAGAGCATTTGGTCAAGTGATGCAATAACCAGAGAAACAGTTTAAAGCTCAGTGAGTGTACCCCACCCCATGAAACATCAGGACTGGTATTTAATTCAGTCATGAAGACATGAAAATGAACATAATGCCAGGGTGTGGGCCTTAATCTTTATGCTTCAGTGTACAATATGTGGGCCAAAAGAAGAAACTACACAGTAATGACAGGACTGAAAAAGCCTTTTAAGGATTTGAAAAAGCCTGACAGTGCTTTAAATAGCAATGGAACAAAAATTGTAATATGATGCATTTGCTTTTATGCGAGCTTCAGTGGAGGAGACAACAATGTTGTGATGTTTTCTGAAGCTCAGTTCCATGATTCTTGCAGGAGAAAACTAAAAACAGTATTGAGGAGGCTAAGTAGCTAAGCCATTTCCCCTGTTGTTAATTTTTAAGACTGGTTTGGTGCCATCCTCTATGCATGAACTAATTTCTGATGCAGTTACATCCTATCTATACATAGTCCCATTTCCTCTATACTCTTCTTGTGAAGCTTACTTCACCACAGATCTTGGGAAATTCTTAAAGAACACAGCACAGTTTATATTGGTAGACTTACATTCTATACGAATATAAAAGGGATGGAACAAATAAATAATGTTTTCTTTCTAAATTAGAGGACAGCTACAGTTCTATTTACTGTGGACAGAAGCATAAGGGAAAAACAGGAGAGGAAAGGGATTTGGATCAAAGACCAAAAAAAATTATAAAATCACCTAATGTATTAGAGGTAGCTGATGCTCTGTCAGAAAATGAAGCCAGGTTCATTAAACTAAATAATCAGGGTGTAAGAGAACTTCCACTGTACACAGAACATCCATGAGGTGAACTGTTTTGCTGCACAATTAAAATGCAGTATTAGGGGACACCAGTAGCTGAAACAACGGCATGGTTCTGTAATGAGTCACTTTAAGGAAGAGCTTCAGAGAAAAAGAGGAGAGGAGCAGTGAGCACAGGGGGAGTAAATAAAACCCAGTTTTATCAGCTCTTCATCTTCTCCTAAGGATGGGAAAGCAAAAGGCCTACCATCTCTCTCTCCATTTCAGCAAACTGAGCTGAAAGGGTAAAAATGAAATACTGACCATATTTTTATGGTCTATGGCCTTAGATGTAGGAAGAGAATTGAAATATTCACCACTTTTTCTTTTCCATCAAAGAACATTACAGAGCACTTCTATTTTATAAAAAAATGAAGGCAATTATTTATATCACATGGTCAAAAAGCCAAAGATCCATACAGTCTCATATTTTGAGGTGTGACTATGCAATTATCTGCACAAGATTACACTTCTATTTCTATTCCAAATGTGCAAGGTCCACTCAGAGTTTTCTTCCACATGCTCCAATATGCTTGCACATACAGTGACTGTTATTACAGCGACTTCATGTATGGCTTTGAAGATGTGGGGAAAGATCAAACCACAGTCAGCATCAATCACTTACAGTAGTCCCTGCAATTCAATGAGCTGGTCCACCTTGAGCCTGCCCACATACTATTTAGAAAGGGCGAGGGGGAACCTTTAGAGCAACTGAAATTACAACGATCTTGAATGCTGATGCTCTTAACAATGTAGGTGCCCGGCTGCCATCTAGACAAATGGCAACTGGACAGCAAAAATGCCTGTTAAGGTCTGAGACCTTATCCATCCTCTTTCTGGGTTACTTTTTTTTTCTCCAGTTCCCTCTGGTCCCAAAACAACATATTATCATGAGCTCACTTATCTGCACTATCAGTTTTGCAGCAAGGCACTGGACGCCACACAAGCATCCTCCACATCCTTGAACACACTACCTAGTTCCATTCATATGCAGTTCAGCAAGTTATAGAGGGGCTGAATTGGCACTCAGGGCTTTTCAGGATAAGAACTGAGACTTGGGAGAACTTCAGAAACAGCAACTTTCCATTAGCCTTGGCTAGCAGAAAGGATGGTTACTGAAAGGGAAGATTTACAGAGCACTGGCATGACTTCCCTTCAGAAGCATAAACAAGAAAATGCCCAAGAAAAACATTATTTTACAAGTAATATTGAAGACATTCATTCAGAGAAAAAAAAGTTCTATAAAAACCTGTCTCCAAAATAATTAAAGTGGCCAAAAGCACTATTTCACCACTTTCATCAATTTGCAATTGCTAGCATTAAAAAAAAAAAAAAAAAAAAAAAAACCAACAAAAAACAAAACCAACTACACTCACCATCTCCAGGCACTGACATGAAATGAGCATCAACCCGTTTTTCATCCTCTCCATAATCGTTCTTTGCCAGTAAGGTATAAGCACCATTATTCAGGTGTGTAGGATTGTCCAGCTGAAGGCAGCCATGGTATTCACTTTGATTGATAACGTGTATTTTAGTACAGATGTATTCAGACTCATTCAGTACAGCTCCTTCGTAGAACCACTGCAACGTGGGCTTAGGGTTCCCTTTCACAGTGAATGGAATACACCAGTGGTGGTCCGGAGTCGGAGACTCAATAAATGTGATATTTGGTGCAACTATATTGGAAAAAAGAGTGAAGAACATCAGAATATTCTGAACATGTCCTTCCTCCCTTCCCTCCCTCCCTCCCTTCCTCCCTCCCAAGTTCTCCTGGAAGTACTTTTCATTCATCAGTACAAAAGTATGTTACAAGATGGAGAGGTACCTATTTGAAGAATACTCACAAAGGAACATACCTGCTCTGTCTAGAGTATTATGCTGAACTGAACTGAAGCCACTCTTTAGCAAGAAATAAAACAAACTAATGTCAAAGACTGAAAATGTGTTAAATCACTTAAAACGTGTAAGGTGTGGGAACTCCAGTTACTGGATCACTTAGAAGGAGGAGAGAGACATTTTAGCTTTACTTTGCTCAAAAGATAGTGCACAGGAGTGCTGAAGGAAGATAGCAGTATTGAGCAGTATTGAAAACATTTAAAATTGGCCAAAAGCAAGTACTATTGGAAAGACACTCAGCTAAGAATCCAGATTTACAGAACATTTTCTTAACAGAATCAGAGACAAGACAGATTACTTAATTCTCTATATTATTCTGTCAGGGATAAAAAATTCTTTACTATACATATTCTGTGTTCAAATCTGCTAAATGCCTCAAGTTTACAGACCTCTTCTGTTTCCCTCAAGATATTATTCCAACACCTTGCCCATTATTTTCCTGTATATTTATTCTTAACTAAAAAATTTCTTCTAGTTATATTCCCTTTTATCACCCATAACAGTTCCAAGCTCAGAATCTCATTTACACTCTTTAAACATTTCTAGTTTATGTTTGTTCCCATAGTTATTACATATCCAATTTCGACATACAAACCTACATCTGTAGTGTTTTTTTTCTAGTTTACTCTGTCATAAGCACATGCTGAGCAAAATTTGCCATCTACAAATTGTTCCATTCCCATCTTCAATTAAACAGAGGGTTGCAACTTGTGAAAACATGCTGTATAGCTCATGTCAAATGAATTCAGCCTGGAGCTCAGATCTGAGAAACCAGTGCTTCTCTACACTATATACCCCTTCTCCCTTCCTTGGTCCTGAGAAGTAAGTGTACTATTCAAAGCTGTGACAAACAAATTTACATCTGGCCATACAAACATTGAACAAAGTAGTTATTGTTTTAGGTAGTAAGAAGTTAAACATGTAGTCTTGTATAATTCTACTAGCCTTTGCAATGCACGCTTTGCAATTGCTAAGACAGTGTGCATGTACATACACACCATTACAAACCTTCCCACACTGACAGTGCCATTCAGTAGTCAGCATTTCAGACCTTTACTTACAGATTCTTTTAACTGGAAGACAAAGCAGTCAGAAGTACATTTTTTGCAGAATACAGAGCTGAAAAAGATAAATGCAACAACGGCTGACTGGGCTACTCCTAGCATTTACTGCAGTAGATAGTTCACACATCTTAAGGGTTTTCCTTTCAACAGCCTGAAGGTCCAAAAAATACCCAGAACAGTTCCTGCCAATGCAGTTTAGCCTCCAGGTCTGTATGGAGGTCCACATACGTACAGAATACCGTAAGCTCAGCAGAGGCTTGGTCCTCTCCCACAATGTTCTCTGCTACACAGGAAATCTCCAGTCCACTGTCCATTGATGAGACATTCTTGATGGTGAGAGAGGCAGGGTTCTTATTTGTGTCACTCTGAAAATGATCAGAAAAACATGTATGCATGTTTTTCAACCACAGCATTAAGAACAAAGGAGAGGGAGGGAATTACCGGCCACAGCTGAATGGCATTTTTAATTTTCCCTTCCTTTTAGCTGTATCTGTCCACGATTAATCAAAGCCTTATTTTAGTGTCTTATCGATACAGACATAAAACATGTACAGAACTCATTCTAACAGTCAGCGGCAGTAGATTCAAAGCTGCTAAGTCCTGCTACAAACATTGCACTCAACCATGTTTCTGCCCTGTCACTTCCAGTCTGTGACCTTTTTTTACCACTTTATCACCTCTACACAAATTTTTTTCCCCTCTTATATAGGAAAAATGTTTATTCCCCTTTTATCATATACCCTTGCTCATCCCTCTCGCCGACTTCATGATCAATTTCTATGGTCTATCTCTGCCTGTTCTCTAGAACTTTTTCTTCCTGCCTATATTCTGTCCAATCCTTGTTTTACTCATGCTTTTCTCTCTTTCCTTTAAATTTATGCTTAACATTTCTTCCACTGCTGCCTTCTGAGCCCTACTGTATCTTGACACGTTTTCTCTTCTGACATCTCCTTCTTAACCAAATTTCTCTTGAAAGCTTTTTTTTCTCAGGAAACCTTCCACAATAAACTGCATACCTTCTACTACCTAAGCTATTGCCTAAGTGCTGTTTTATGTGTTTAAGAACAAGAGAATTAAGGTAAGAATGATGTTTCTTAAAAATCTTTATTCTTATGATCGTTAGAAAGCTGAGTGTCTATCTATAACCTTAAAAAACATACTGACTATGCAGCTATGTCACACTGGCTAAACAAATACAGCTGAATTACACCCCCACCCCCCCCAAAAAAAAAAAAAAAAAAAAGCACTAGTAAAGCTAGTTGTTTGTCTGATGTTAATAAATCAGGCCTTTCATATGATCTTCAAATAATCATTATTTCCATACTTTAATTTTTCATAAAGAGCTAGACTATTTTGTTAAACTGAAAAGGAACCAAAACACCCTCCAAAAAGAAATAATGATTATGATAATTTTCAAAACTACTTTTGAAGTACTTTTTGTAATGTACGCTGTGAGTGCTACAGACAATACAAACCAGTAACCCACTGTAATTGTAAAACCACGGCAACTTTAGGTGGTAGTCAACAGGAATACGTGGGAACGCTCCTGCATACAGTCCTGTGCAAACAGAATTTTGAAGTTTGAGATGACAGCCTAACTCTACACCAGTTCAATGTCCCTTCAATCTCAGTGTGACAGTAGGGGAGGCAGGTGGTAAAGCAAACACCCCTTCACACATTTTCCTATTTTGCAATTCTCAGAGCTGAGCAATGCCCAAAGCTGGACTGAAAGCAGAGGGGCTGAAACCTAGAGCAAGAAAAATCTAAACAACATCAGTCAAACTCTCCATCAACACAGAAACTCAGAACACAAAGGTTAGCTTTGCAGAACTAAAACCTAGTTTTAACGTTTGCTAATGTCCCTCTTTTAAAAGAGGTGAGAGGAAACAATTAAAAGAAGCATACAAGATGAAGAAAATGAAGGCAGAAACTGAGATATGGGAGTGAAAGAAAAGAAACCAAAAGCAACACTCATAGAAAAGGATGGTTGAGAATCACAAATAAGGTCTAAAAGACTCATGCTCTTCTGCTACTGAAAAGACTGCTGTGCTCCATGGCTAAGTTTGTAGCCAGGCTCTATTATAAGCTCCTCTACAATAGCATGACGAAGTTATGCCAGGATAGAATACTCATGGAAAACTTGAAGCAAACTGACCATGGCATTTCAAAGATAGGAGGGTTAAAAAAATTAGGTGATCTCACTTTTTGAACAGAGTCCCACATTTGTTTTGGCTCCTAGAATTAAAACTTTTAAAAATTTTTGAAAGAGTGCAACTTGGCAGAGGTTCCCCAAAGTGTTTTAATTTCTTGCTCTTGATGACGACTGATGCCTTGATGCCTTTGGGGAGTTTTACAGATCAGAGAAAATTTTAAAAATACAACCAGAGCTTTGCAGAGCTCTTACTTATGAAAGCTGGAAGGAAAGACAGACTATTTAAATTCTTTACAAGCCTGATATAATGAACTTCGGAATGAAAATATAAAAACTATGAGATTCAAGAGTTCCTATCTCCTCCTCACTGCAGTTTTTGAAAGAGTTTTGAAGGTACACTTCCCACACCTTGTTCAGACTAAAAAGCTTTACAAAGTGTGCACCATCATGGTTATAGGAAAGCAAATGCCATAAACTCATAATAAACATGGGTTTTTCCTATATGAAATAATAGCAATTAATGAGGTCAGCAGCTGCTTATATGCTCCTCCTTTTTCAATATTTCCATCAGAAAGGACTTAAGCAGCACACAGTCCAGAAAAACAAAAAATGAAAATATACAGAGACCAGTAAATAAAATTTCCCCACCTAGATGATTTCAATGAGGAAAGATATTCATACACCATTATAAAAAACAAACCAAAACAAAACCAACCTGACAGTATTTTAGGTAAAATCTTAAATTTCTAGGCTTTCTGTTGCTGCTAAGTGTGTTGAAGAAAAATTAAACAAGCCACAAAATATTTACAACGAAATTCCAACACACCAAATTATGAAATGAAAATGTAATATAATTACAGACCCGAAGTTTTTTTTCACAGTCAGTATAGGTTGGATTTAGTCTCAGTGATAATAAGAAATTCTTGTGTTTCAGAATTCCAATTCACATTACTTCCAAAAATTTACATTACTCTCATTTACAAGTGAACATCCAAAAAACCAGAGTGCAAATGAGAATCTTGAGAAACAAATGTCTGCCATTCCCCAAAAGCACAGCCACAGTCACCCTTGATTGAAAGTAACTGGAAGATAAATGTAATTCCAACACTAACTTTCTATTTCATTTTTTAATAGAAAGTTAACTAGAGCTGGACATGAAACTTCATTCCATCCTTCAGAAGGTGTCACCTGAATTGTCATGTGTTCGAATATAAACCTTACCTCATGGTTTGAAACAAGATTAGTTACCACCCAGGACACATTAGGGGGTGGCCCGCCAGTAGTATCACAGTACAGCGTAATGCTCTTTCCTTCCACCACGGTGATGTTGTAATTGCTTAAGTTTGCTGAGGGCAAATCTGTGATAGAAACAACAACACAATAACCCAATATGTATTTCCGTGTGACAGAATAGACACCATGCAACTCTAAGCAAGAAATACATCAAATATTTGCTGTAGTCAGTACTACTCAGTCAGACAGTACAAACATCTTTGGAAATAAAAAAGTATAATCTTTTGCTGTTATGCATTTTCCGCACCTCCTCTGCTTCACATCCTAAGAAAACATTACTGCATGTGTAAATACATTAACCGGTTAATTATATAGAAATATATGTCAGGTGCGCAAACAGAAATTATCTTAATTTCAAAATGAAAAAAACCCTCTTCCTTACTCTTTAAAACTGGAAATTGTATCTATCTCTTTATAACAGCTATGAAGCAACCTCTGGGTTCCACTGATGTGGTATTCCACTGTTCTTAACAACACTAACAGGAAAATCCAATTAGCTCCCAGTGTCCCACAGGAGACTGAAGCCCCCTCTCTCACAAAGAGAGATAGCTCAGCGTGAGCAGGGCAAAACCTAGAACTTAAGCTCAAAGGGAGGAAAACAGAGAACTTAACAGACTGAACTAGAGAAGGGAAAGGACAGAAGAGAGGGTTAACAATTGCACAGAGCTTTACTTGAGGCACATCAGTTGATTTTTCTATTGTCCTCAGGAAAGCAGGAAAGCAGTGAGATACACTCATCAGGAAACAAGACCAGGTTTTACAAGAATTAGGACTCCCCCTCCATCTTACAGAGCTATAAATCACGCTGTGCCTTGTTCTAAGGCACCCAAAGCAATGGAAACTTCCCAGAGTGTAAATTTATGCTGAATGTTTACAAAACCATAAAGAATTATAGAATTGCCCTCTCCAAAATAATACCAGCAATATCAGTAGATTTCAGGCACAGAGGGATTCAAATTTTGTGTTTATTTATGTAACAAATAATTATGCATCATTCTAGAAATAATATCTTCCTTAAAAGATACTAGCTCATCATTTGAAGCTGCTACACTCTGTAAAGAGTCTTGGTCTCCTTTATGAGGCATTTCACATCAACTGTTCCAGGCAAATTTTACTTGCAATTTATAATAGCAAATAATCAAGCTTATCTGCTGTGCAGGACATTTATCCATGGTTTTGCAATGACTTTTATTTTTCTGAAACAACAGCTCTCTTTGGTTGTTTTTTAGTTGAGAGTACAGCAGTTTCATCATGGACTTGCTGGTATATAAGTGTAGCAGAGAAATTTTTCTTTATGTAAAAGGTCCAAAACAAATAAATAACCATCAAATCATTGTGAACACATTCATAAGTTTGCTGGAGGTTCAACAGAAGCTAGATGTATTGGAAACCTCCCTTAAATTAGTTCAATAAAATATAACTGAGTGGAAGCAATACAGAAAAGTAGATGAATAATTTTCCAGACAATGCTTTGCTGCCTAATAAGATTTGAAGATCAGCACAAGTATACAATAACTGCTCAGGCAATTCTCACAGTGTTTTAAGTAGTGTGGTAATATGATTCCCATTATAGGCATCATGGATTTCTTCTATTATGTTCACTTTATAAATCATGTGTTGAAGTTTATTGAGACAGAGCTGGGGAGTTTGTATGCCTTGATGCAGTAATCTGTTAGCGAAGGTAGCCATCTGCTCTAGCCTGCTGTGAATTCAGATCTCACCAGTGTCTGTCAACTAGCTGAGCAGGAAATAAAACTAATCTTAGGGAACATTTTGATATTAATTATGCTAGTTAGAGAACAAGGGGAGAAGTAATGAGATCATTTTCTTTATAAAGTTACATTTCCACAACACCTCTAAATACTATTCCAATTACTCTTGCCAGACCTGAACATGCAAAGAGAATAAAGATCCCACTCTTCTTAACCTTACCACTTGGGAGGAGGTCTAAATGATAGATTAGCATTTCATTGTGCAAACTGGCACAGCTCCTACTAACACATCACTTCATGTGAAACCTCTCATGCAAGCAAAAATAAAAATAACTTTTGTCCCTTAGAGCTCTCCTTTAAATAGCTGTTAAGTTTTGAGACAACTTCTTCCTGCAATGTGTTTATTCATAGGATAAGCAACTGAAGTTTAATTCCTCTGGTACTGGCTCTGGTTCCCACCCAGAGCTAGATCTAGTTCTTTTTATTTGCAGAAGTCTGCACATGTCATGTTGGTGTTACATCTCTAATGGAAACAACTACATCATGCTGCATCCTGCCAGAAGGCTATAAAATAATAGTGCTTTTTATTTTATATGTTCATAAAGTTCTAAAAACCAATGGCAAGGCCCCTGCATCTAAAAAGGTACAAATGGAATGGAATGGAATGGAATGGAATGGAATGGAATGGAATGGAATGGAATGGAGCTAGAACTAGAGATAGAGTAGATTAGAAATCACATTATTGTGTGTGTTTTCTTTTACTCTTCTTCCCAATCCTAAGACGGGTGGAAAACACAAGAATTGTCTTGGGATTCATTTTTTCTCGTTGGATATATTGAGATAGTGTGCTTTAACTGCAGGCTAATTTTGCTTCAATTTCCACTGGCACCCCGACTGCTCCACAGTAGAATCCACACTAGTTGAGATGTGGCTCTATTTGGGAAAAGCAAGACAGTCACATAAGGCCTCATCTAGACATGTGATACATTGCCTTTAGCAGCAAAGCAATGACACTAAGCAGCAAAACCTGTACTGAAAAATAACTGTATGCTAAAAGAACACAATGGACCTTAACATACACAAATGCTCAGTTTGTATGCCCAGTGTAGTATGAGACCATTTATATTGCCCAGCAACACTTTGACTCTTACAGAACTACAGAGATAGCCAGCCATGCTGCCTTTACTCCTGAGTTAATTTGGTTAAACACAGTGGTTTAGATAGTTATCACTTTTGTTGACAAGGATGTACATTTTAAAGGACTTGTAAACAGCAGTTGATACAAACTTATCAGATAGCACACTCAAATATTTTTGTATACTGCCAGCATAGTAAGATTAGAGTGTAGCAGAAGAGCCTGTACAAGGTAGACATGACATCATCCTTCCACAAGTTTCATCTTGGTACCTGTCAGACAGATTAATCCATTCCTCAAAACTCAAAACACAATCTCTGTTCAAAACTTTGATGGAATTAATTATTATAACTCTGGATATCAGCAATAATCTTGCTACTACCTGATTGATTTTTGCTGTATATTTGAAGTTTGCTATATTTTTTACCTTAACCTTCTGCAACAATGTGTTGTATACAGGTTGCATACAAGAATATCTTCTTTTTATGAGCTCTGGAATTTCTCACAGACATTCAAATTTATTGAGCATCTCCTGTTTTGGTGGAACAGGGTAAAGAGAGTTTCTGAATGATTGTTTTAAGACCATCTTCTTTTATATTGTTTTTCAATTCCTCTTTCTTTTCAACAAGCTATCCAAAGCTTTTTAATCTCTACAAAAATGGGAGGACAGAACCTGCTACTGAGAACTTTAAACTGTAATGTAGAGAGTACATACACAGTTTGAGAGATGAAATTGTACACTAAAAGCCATGTGTTTCCATTATGTAGTGGTACATAATAGCTATGTGCTTTTACCGCATACAGGATTTATTTGCTCATATTCAGCATGATTACACTTTATTCTCAGGAATAGGCAGCTCTGGATTAGAATAAGCAGTCACTTCCCTCACCCCAGCACAACTAGACAGAACTAGAGACAAGCAGGAGGAACTCATTTATGTCAGCTGAGTCTCTCCAAATACCATCTCATACTCTAGGAGAAACAAACACTCCTTAAAGTAGGGCTTGGGGGAGGGGGGGCATTTACCTTCACAGACCATCATTAGTGCAAAAGGATGGCCTAAAGCCATCAGACAGGGAAACTGTCAAGCATCTAGGGAATGACTCACATCTTCCCTGTGCACAGCTGGGACTTCAGCAACCACAAAACCAACACTTTGGATGCCATTTTCAAAGGTTACTACTACATTTGGCTACACAACTGTCAATGGAAATTAAGAAAATGAATGTGCCTGTATTCCTACAGGGCTTTCCAAGACTTCATGCTGTTACTTATAACTTTCTACAGAAAAACTTAAACTGGCCTTCCTAGAGCCAGACTGTCAAAGGAAGGATATGATCTAATAGAGAAATAAAAACTCTACTCTGTAACTCAACTCTTAGCACCAAGAACTTTAGCCAGTATGCTAAAGGAACATTAAAAAGAAGGTGGTCTCAATCCAGAAGAAGCAAATCCACCATTACACCAAAGATATTGTTTCACTATCTGCAGTTATAAAATTTTTTACAAAATAAAAGCAGATTCACTTTTTCTGCTTCAACTTTCACCTGCTCATTTTTTCAGTTTTTTCAGTTGCAAAAAAATCTTTAAAAATTATCTCAATATGGTCAATTAGCCTCACTAACACCTAAGATATTACATGATGAAAAATTAGTACCTGAGAGAATACTGTAAATTCATTATTGCAGTCATTTATGCTATCCTTTGCACACTAAGCCCCTGATTTTCATTGGCCTCAACAAATTCCCAGGAGTTTAGACATGACAGTGTATCAGTAAATGGTTTTCAACGTGGCCCATGTCATCTCTTGTTTGCTTGGCATGCTTTTGGAGGTCAATTTGTTGTGTAATAAGAACAAGAAGATACCACCAAAAAATGACAATTTTTTCTGCATCTAATTTTTAACCAGGTAATTTTAATCCTCACCTGAAATCCTTAACCCATCTTTTTAGTAAATATATCAGACATAGAATGATTAAAATAATACTGAGGCAGCAACCATCTATCAAACTGAACCATTCAAGGCAGCCTAACAGAACTGCTAATTTATAAAACATGCACTGCAATTCTTAGGGCACAGTGATTAAAATCAGCCTACTTTCCTCACATAAGATTCCAATAAAGTCTAGGGTTCTTGCTTCTCCTGGTTTGGCTTTTTCACTCTAGAGACAAAACATACAATTACATCACTACCGTACAGCCTGGTAACAGCCACTA